AGGAAGTTGCATTATGAACATAATCATCCTTGTTCTCTCTTTCAGAATAATCCTTCTTGAAGTGACTGATTTTATGACAAGTTAAGCATTTAAACTTTAAGTTATCAAAACTGATTTTATGACAATAAATTTGCTTATCTAGTTCGATCAATTCAATCTACGTCTAGGAGATAACAACTCTTCAATTTCCTATACTTCAAAAGTTGTTGCAAGAGATTACAATATGAGCTACAAGAAAGTAGTCTTGAGAATTTTCAAGAATAAACTCAATTTTCTACCCAAGTATTTCTCAATCTCTCCAACTCTCAATATAAGAATCACACAAATTCTGTGTATTTAAAGTGTTTATCAATCTCTTTGATAACCTCAAAAGGCTGCTAAATCTCTATAATATAATTCTAAATAATTTTACCCTTTGTTTTTTACTAGAATTTCTATCTTATGTAACTTGTGTCTAACAAATGAGAGAAAAACTATATTTATAACTAACAAAATATTAATGAATACAATATATAACTCATTAACAAATAGTTCCGTAAATAAATCTGAAAATCTATCAATATCGAAATATGTCTTTTTTTCTTTTCTTTTTTCACTAGAGATTTTAAGACATATTACACTAAAGATGATAAACTTATCTTTCCACTTGATTTCTTTATCGTCATTTTTCTATCTAAAAGTTATTTTTCTTGTAATACTATTTTCTTTTTTCTCATATTCTATCATACTTGATGTTGACCCACAAAACTCTTGACTAGTTTTATACCAAAATCCTAAACTTGAAGATAGTCAATTGAAGGTCATTTCATTACATATTTTTAAATATTTAACTAAAACTCTGGTACATTATTTCATAAATTTGGAAGAATTGTGGAATTATTGATGTATTTAAAATATAAATGATTAATTAAAATAATATATTTTGTTGAGAGAGAAAAATGACTAGAAAGGAATCTTGAAGATAGTCAATGGAAACTCATTTAATTACATATTTTTAAATATTTAATTAAAACTCTGTTACATTATTTCATAAATTTGGAAGGATTGTGGAATTATTGGTGTATTTAAAACAACAAATGACTAATTAAAATAATATATTTTACTGAGAGAAAAATGGCTAAAAAGAAATAGAGAGAAAGACACAAAGGTAGTAAGGCTTTAAAGATAGTTAATCTTTGTTCAATTTTATAGAGGAGAATTGATTACCTTTGTTATCGGTGCCTTTAATAGTGTTTAAAACACAAATAATTAATTAAAATAATATATTTTGTTGAGAGGAAAAAAAATAACCAGAGAGTAATAAAGAGAATGACACAAAAATGGCAACCTTCAAAGATAGTTAATTCTTGCCCCAATTTTATTTGATACATTTATTTATAATCTATTTGAAAAAGATCAGACACATTATGAGGCGTGACATGCCAACTATGTTGCTTTGAGCGATATGCTAATTGTTTTTATTGTTGTATTAGTTTATGATTTAATGTCCTCTATAGAAAGAGAGAGAAAAAAAAAAATATATATATATATATATATATATATATATATATATATATATATATATATATATATATATATATATATATATATATCATTATTTCTCCTTTTTTTTTATCACTTATATGGTTTGTCTTTGATATTTTTTATTTTTTAACATTAAAAATAAATGATTTTTTACGAAAAATATAAAAAAATTGAGGTGCGTTTAATTTGAGATAGATGAAAAAAAAAACGTTAAAAGATTAAGATGAAAGATGAAGAGAGAGAAAGTGAACAAAATTCGTCTAAAATATATTTTTTGCATTCCTCTAAATCAGAAGATTTGAAGAGGATGAGAGATAATATAATTTTTATTATTTAATTTTTTTATATTTAATAAAATATCTTTAATTTAATTTTATTATTCAAAAATGATTTATTTTCTTTTGTGTGAATACTTATCTTTTATGTGATTTTCTAAGTTGATTCTATTAATTTATTATAATTGTTTTTTATTTTTAAATTAATTTTGTATTTTTATGTTTAGTATACATTATTATAACTGTACTTTTTTGTTATTGTTATAAATTTTTATATTTATGTTCATTTTTTTCTTCTATTTTTATTATATATTCTTTTATATTTTCTTTTATGTGTGTGTTTGGAAACTCTTTTTCACGGTATACGGTGGAAAAAAGCACTTCTACTTAATTCTATAAATAGTAGCTTCTATATTTTCACGGTGAATAGTATCCAAAAGCATGGTGGCGGTGAAAAAAAATTGAAAACAAACACTATATACATCAAATTCTAAATCATTCTTTTTCTTTTTCTATTATATTATAATTTTATGTGTTTTTTTTGGTTAAATAGATCATTATGATTTAAAAATTGTTATCGACTAGTAATTTAATTTGTGTCAAAGTGTTATAATTTAAATATAATATACTCAATTTCTTAACATTATATTATAACTATTTTAATCAATTAACGTTAGAAATTATATTCAATTATATATATATATATATATATATATATATATATATATATATATATATATATATATATATATATATATATATATATATATATATATATATATATATATATATATATATATATATATATATATATATATATATATATATATATATATATATATATATATATATATATATATATATATATATATATATATATATATATATATATATATATATATATATATATATATATATATATATATATATATATATATATATATATTATTACTAAAAAATATTTACGAATTTTTCAATTATAAATATCTTAATACATATATAAAATTATAAGAATAAAATATAAATTATTAATAAAATTTCTCCATAATGAAACATATCTATATATAATATAAGAAAGTTGCTGGAAATTATTTTATTACCCTTTCTTCATTTGATGCTACATCATTTATTTGAAGGCAATTTTTGTCTAATAGAACTATTTTCCAACCAAAATGTAAGACTGGTTAGATTTGAATGTCAATATCTATTTTTGTTAACTGACTGTACAGGACTAATATTGTTCAATCTAAACATCTACTTTGCATTTGAAAACAAACCTAATGGTGACAAACTCATTTTTCTCTTCACGTAATGTGAATCTGCTGCAGACTGCTACATCACCTTTCATTCATTTTTATAATTATATTTTTCATGCTACATCTTAAAAAGTAGACTACTACATCTTATTTTTCTTGCTACTTCTATAATTCAAGATCATGCATCAATTTATATCTACTATATGTGTTTGATATCTCAACCTACTAACTCCCATACCCAACTCTATACATAAACTTCAAATTTAATTTTAACTATAAACCCTACTCCACTATTACTTTATAGTTTATTAGAAACTAATACTCCAGTATTACTTTATAGTTTATTAGAAACTAATGTTTTATTAAAGGTATACAAAAAAAAATGATATTTATAATCAAAATATTTTTTATTCAAAAATAATACACGGAAAAAAAATATTATTGATTTAAATATTTTTATATATAAAAATTTATTATTGATCTAAATATTTTTTGTAAATGATACCTAAACAAAAATAATATTTATATACGAGAAAAAATATATTATTAATCTAAATATTTTTTATATATAAAAAATGATAGTTATGATTCAAATATTTTTTATTAAAAAATAATATACGGAAAAAATTTATTATTGATCTACATATTTTTATATACAAAATTTTACTATTGATCCAAATATTTTTGTAAGCGATACCTAAATAAAAATAATATTTGTCTGCAGGAAAAAAAATCTATTATTGATCTAAATATTTTTATATACGAAAAATAATGTTTATGATTCAATTTTTTTATATTCAAAAATAGTATATGGGAAAATTTATTATTGATATAAATATTTTTATATACGAAATTTTACTATTGCTCTAAATATTTTTGTAGATAATATCTAAACATAAATCATATTTGTACAAGGGAAAAATTCTATTGTTAATCTAAATATTTTTATATATGAAAAATGATATTTATGACCCAAATATTTATAATCTAAAAATAGTATACCAAAATTTTTTTTATTATTAATCTAAATATTTTTATATATAAAAAATATAGTATTGATCTATTTTTTTCTTCTTTTTTTTAACCTTCTATTTAAAATAAATATATTATGTAAATAAATGCTTGTACTAGACCGAAACTCGTGCATACGTAGAGAAGTTTGCTACTAATTTTTTAATTAAAATTCATCTCTTTTCCCCAACCCTCCATTGAACCAAACATATATATAATTATTAAAATTCTCTCACCTTCCTCTCCAACCCTCAATTGAACCAAACATATATATAATTATTAAAATTCTCTCACCTTCCTCTCCAACCCTCAATTGAACCGAACATATATATATATATATATATATATATATATATATATATATATATATATATATATATATATATATAATTATTAAAATTCTCTCACCTTCCTCTCCAACCCTCCATTGAACCAAACATATATATAATTATTAAAATTCTCTCACCTTCCTCTCCTTCCCTTCCCTCCTTTAAAATCCTTTTCCTCCCCTTCTATTCTTTTAGGAATATTGTGTCTTCTAAATAAATATAATATTTAACAAGATTGATTTTGAAGTAAAGGCGCAGCTTATTAGTGTTTGCCTGCTATTTCTAATCTTGATAATACCTGAAATTAAATAGGATTAGTAAAATTTGTTTAAGCTAAAAACTTAATGAAAGCCAAATATTTCAATTCTGCATTATATTTCCACACACTCACTTGTCATTCAGATCCCTTCAGCCAAAAGACAATCTTTCTAAATCATCAACAAAATCAAATGCAATTCTGTACAGCCACTTAAAAGCTGTTTTAGACTTCTCAAACACTTCCTTAATTAATATTACACAAATCAATAACTCCAAAAAATTTAAAGAAATCCATGATACCTTCTCATTTGGTTCTTGATTTCTCTCTCAGTTCCCAAATATCATTACTACTGATTATAAAGAAAATCTAAATTGAAATCTTCTTGAACAACCTCTATCCTTATATCACCAAGAATGGTCCTAAAAGGTTCCCATTTTTCAGCAGTTTCTTCATCACAAACCACATGCTTTAACCCCTCAAGATCCATAACTGATGCCGGCAATTCACTAATACTAGAGCAGCCTCTCATATTCACCTTTTCTAGTTTCACCAACTCACCCATATTCTCAGGTAACTGACCAAGGCTTATGCAACCAGAGATGTCAAGAAACTTTAGCCTAGGAATATTTGTGATTGAATCTGGCAACTTTAATAAACCACTGCATGAACTTAGCCTCAATGATTCCAAATTAACCAATTTTCCAATTCCTTCATGAAGTGCACTAAGCTTATGACAATTTGTAATACTAACCTTCTTTAGGGACACAATGTAAGAAATCACATTTGGCAATTCCACCATGTCACAGTAATCGAAATTCATCTCCACCAAGTTTGGCAAAATTTCTGAATCTTGGATAGTGCAAGTTTTAAATGCTTCATTCACATTGCACATAAAGAAAGAACACTTTTGAAGATTCTTCAGTTGTAGTATTGTTTTTCCGAGGAAAGGAATCGAGACTTTCTCTAATCTGATTCGTCTGAGACCTGATAGATGGTCGAGAAGCTCAAAATTATCTAATTCAGCATGATAGAAATCATAATTTGTGATTATCAAAACTTTTAGTTTGGTCATTTTCTTCATGAACATTGGCAGTGTGCACTTCTTTTCTCTCAGGTTTAACACTAAAGCCTCAACTTCAGTTGGTTGCAAGTTACACCATTTTGAAGGGAATGCCTCATCTGCAAAAAGATTCAATAATGAATTATTATAAAGTACTCCATCAATTTGTAACATTCATTATTTTTTGACATGTTATTAATTAGACTGAAAAAAACGGACAGACAAACACTAACACTGACGACTAGTATACAGTTATGCAGTAGAGTTAGGCCAGGCCGGAATTTTTGGAGTGTGCGTTAAGATTTAAGAACAAAAGATGGACGAACCAGTTGATATAGATAAAACGCGAGCTGCAATGTGATATTCAGTCTCTGAAGTCCACCATGATGGAAGATTATTTGCACTTGTGTCAATTATGAGCCTATTCCTCTTATCCTCGGGCTCGTGGCTATTATTACGGATGGCTAGGTCACGAAGAAGACCATGTTGTGTAACATAATGGTAGTTGTAGTCAATTGTGCCACTCGCAACTTTCCTGATCAATGAAACATAAACTAGTTGCTAATAAATGGCCAAAATAAAGATCTTTTACGAGTCTAATCTTCGAGTCTCGACAATGAGACAAATTGTTTAAGAATCATACCTTGTGACAATAATATCAGCTAAGTTGAGGTTAACTAGTTTATAGATTCTTTCCACTGCAGTTGCGTCGTCTTCATTCCTTATTTCTGCCCACATATCAATGAGGGCAACGACAGGGATCCTCTGGTCTTCAGGAAATAAGCCTAAGTCCCGAAAACACTCCATCGACTTAGGATCCAATACATCTAAGCTCTTTTGAAGACACGAAAGTATGTCAGTGTTAGAATCGAGAATTGTACCACCAGCTGATAATTCCTTAGCCCTGTTAAGCCAAACTATCTGTTGTTCGTTACTCAACGATCTTCCACTCACTCGAAGTGCTAAGGGAGAACCGCTACAACCTCTTACTATCTGCAACATGTTTTGTGTACAAAATGACTTATATTATAGGAATGACAGAAAAAGCTAGTTCTGTAGTTTAACAAGACAATAGAAAATTAGAAATCACCTCTTTCACAACATCATCCGGAATATCTGAGTTGCTCTTAGTTAAGGAAGCTGAATGCTTAAACAAATTTATAGCATTTGCTTCCGAAAGAGGTTTCAAGACGAACGGATGTCCGAATCTTCCAATAGCAAATCTTGATGTCACCAAAATCTTGTAATTAGCAATCTCAAACACAAAATTGTCAACAAGTGATTCCGATCCTAGCCAAACATCGTCTAAGACCAACAGTATCGGGCCATTTTTCACAATTTGTTTCATCAATTGTTCCAATTGGTTAAACATATCTTCATCGCTTTGAAAATCGGGAGCTTGGTAGCCAGTGTGTTGAAACAGTTTCTGCACTATAGCATTCAGTTTTGGTGCTTTTGCAAATGTAATGAAGAAGATATTTTCCTTGAATTTACCTAACCAAAAAACCATACGCGGTTAGACATATACAAGTCGCAAACTCAAAGTTCCAAGTATCTACCAAAATTCATTGTTAGAAACATACCTTTTACTTGTTCATCCCAACAAAACCTTTTCACCAACGTAGATTTCCCCGAACCACCAGAACCAGTAACCGTAACAACAGAAACACTAACATCATCTTTCAGCAACCTCATCTTCAACTCATTCAAAGGACCATCCAACCCAACAATAAAACCCGGCGGTTGAGGAGGCAAACAAACACCTCTCAGTTCAATCCTCTCATTCCTCAACCCAACACTTCTAAACTCAGCACGAAACTCTTTAATCTCCAAAAGTGTTTCCAAACCATTCCTCGCATCTTGAGCTCTCAAATCAAGCTCAAAGAATCTTCTAATCTCACCATCCAACTCTTCAAGCTGTTCTTGATACTCCGCCTTCTTGTAACAACAATTCCACCACTGGAATCTGTCTTCATCACAACACTTGAGAACGAGTTCTTTTCCATCTTTCATATGCTGGATTAGTCTCTCAGTTTCTTTAGCTGGTCGATCCAGTTTCTTGTTGAGTTCATCTATTTGATTCATCAATGGTGCTAATGATTCGAGAGTTTTTTCTAATCTTTCTAGAGTTGATTTGAACTTCAAGGCTTTGTTCTTCATTTCAACAACTGAACTCAATAGCTCATCCACTACTTTTCCAATAACTGCATCTAGAACCATAGCCATGATCTACTAACAACATAAAAAATATAAAAAATCAATGACAAAAAACATTGATCTAAACAAGGTCAAAGAAAGTCAAACATCATGGTTTTTTTTATTTAAAAACAAATGAAGAGATAGTTACTTTACTACTTACTACTACTACTAACAAATCAAATAATCAATGTGCTATAGAAAATGCTCTCTAATCAAATCTAGCTTCAGCTTCAACTGTTTTTTTGTGCTCGCTGATAGGGGAATACAATACAAAAATTTATTCTTTGATAAAGTTGAGAATATTTTGGGTTTTGTATTTATTTATTTATATAAAAGTTGTTTCATTTCATTGATAATTTAATTTTGTGGCCCCCTGATGAAAGTACTGACATTGAAGTTTTCTTTTTTCGATGGATTCGATGTAAAAGATTTTTTTTGTTTGCTTTTGGATGGAATCAACTACGATTTGGTTGAGTCAATGTAACTTTGTTTGCTAAAGGTAAAGAAGACTAGAAGATGAGTGACTATAAAAAAATATATCAAAAGGGTCCATTAATGATGGGACCCGGATTTCTATGGTGGATGGTGGGGGAACTTAACAACTTAAAAACAACATATGAATAATAACAATTCATTTTCTCAAAAAAGTTTTTAATAACAAATAATTTCACAATTTATATTCTTTCGTCTCTTGCCGATGGTATATCCAATGGCTCAGAAACTGATGTATGAAGGTCAATTGTGCGTATTAAAGAAGAAGTTGTGTGCCAGAACAATTTAATAGAATTTGTCCAAGTTTTACGTCTGATGTTAAAATGATTTTGTTAAGTCATTCGAGTTCATTTTAGGACCAAAAATAACATTTTAATATTTTCATAATTTTAGTAATTTACGTTTTTTCTCACAATTTTAGCAATTTTTGTTTTATTTTTGTTTTCGAATATTTTAGCATTAGGATTTCTTTTTTGTATTTAAACACCTTTGGATGTGACTGTCAAGGTTATCTTTTATCATAACCAAATTCAAGTATTTTCTTTTTTGGAGGATTTCGAAATTTTATCGGACAGGTTTGTCGCTTGCAAACTTGTGTTTTTATTCTAAGTTTAGCGCTTGGTAATCCTTTCGTGACTCCGACTACGTCAAGTGGCATCATAGCAAGTTTCTCATGTTTCTTTTTGTAGTTTGATCGGCCATGGGAGATCAACCTTTGACCAGAGCAGGCCTTGAGGGAGTAACTATGACTTTTACCACAATCCTAACTGTTTTGGCTGAACAGGTGACGACTTTAACAACTCAAGTGAATCACACCAACAACAACGGTAATCAGCGAAGAGACAGGAGAAGGAAACCAATTAGAATTCCACAGGGTGCAAACAATCGTGTTGTTATTGCTGAAAATTTGAGATGGATTTTGTCCGTCAAATTTGGGGCAGGTTCGGGTGGGTACCCGCAAGTACATGTTATGTTACCATGCATAGACATATCATGCACATTATTTACTATATAGACTAAAGAGCCTTCAGATACGAAGACGAGATCAATGTCATGTCCTTAGGAAAATTAAATCAGATAAAGGTAGTGTTCCACCAACTATGGATCCAAAGAAGGTTTTATGAGTTTCAGGAACAAGTGAGGACATGCCCTAAGAAACACGTGGTTCAAGAAAATGATTGAAGAAGGACCATCAAATGACAGAACAAATAATATTCCAACACATGTCTCTTTAGTTGGACAACTATATTGCAGAAGAAGGTTATACAGCTTAAAAATCATAGAATTCACTTATAAAATAGGAGACAAATGTCAAGTTCAGGTACATATTATTTAAAATGAAAAATACCTCTTACTTCCGATAGACACTTACTTGGGCGTTAGAGTGCTTGAAAATACCACCATATCTCAAGGCGTTATACGATATTTAGAGCTTACTATTTCTTCCTAGATATCACCTGAATCTGGCCAAGTTCACATATTTGTGAACTACTCCTTTATAGAAGGATCATTGGCGTCATTTATGGGAATGTTCATCAATGTTCAAACACTTTAATCAAAGATTTGTATGGTGAAATACGATAGAAGAACCACACAAAAGTCTAACCCTCTGATATGTCGACAGAGAGATTGTGAGGGTAAACCACAACCTCTAAGATGGACTCGTGACATCCTTCTCACACTAAGAGGATTTGATCCAATCTCCACTTATTATTAAGTCCATACATGTCCCAACAAGAACCAATGAGATTTGGCCAACCTTATGAGGCTTCATCCTAGTTGAAGAAGCTTTGACAATGCCTCTTCCTCTATAAGTATACGATGTAGCACCCTAACTTATTGAATGGAAATCACGATGATGGAGGAAGATAAAAGTTTCCCTTAAGTCGGTCCTTACAAATGATCATGATCAGTGATAGATCAATTACCACTTGTGTCGATTAGTTGTTGATAAAAAATCAAAAAGGAAATTATGTTCTTCAAATGACAAGATGTCATACACAATGTTAGAACAATGTGTATGACAAATTAAATTCGTAATAGACATAATAAAGACAAAATATAAATAGCATAAGAATTGGTAACCAAGTTCGGTCAAATCACATACGTCTAAAGGGTGTTGACCCAATGAAAGAAAATTCACTCATAATAGTCAAAAGTATAAATTGGTATGATTTGAACTTACCCAGTTCAATACCTCTTTTGCTAGTACTACCCGTGAGTTTTTATTCAGAACTCCCTATGAATCTCAGATGCCTCTCACTTTCACTCGAGCACTCTCCCAAGTTTTTATTTAGTTACAAAGATGAAAGATTAAACTCTAATACTACTAAAAATATATTCGAGTGATTTAGAATTAATGCCTAGGAATAAAGTGTAGAAACTACAAATATAAGAACCAACTAAAACCCTCTTATGTAGTATATAATTTCTCATAAGGCCTTAGTCTTCATAAAGGAGATTGCCTCCTTAAATAGTAACAAAAATCAAGTTAGAAATCCCAGTAGGGTTTTGATTTTAAAGTGGTAGAACCTCCAAAAAAATGCATGAGATCAATCTTCAACAATTATGATTGTAAATCTTGATTGATCACACTAGAATAAATCTGATTCTCTTAATTTTAACAAATTCAATCTTGCTGAATTTGATTTATATCAAACCTTTCTTTAAACCAAACACGTGCATAATAAATCAAATCTTCATTATGATAATTGAGATCCTTTATTGATGCAAATTTTGAACAAATCAAAACACCAATTACAATCTTACTAAAAACACATTTAAGATCAATATTTTCCAAATCTTAGCACATGCTAACACACTCATATCTCTGATTGGGCATAAAAGGAAACAAAATTCAAATGTGCAATATAATCTTCAATCAACCTTACACACCAAGAAAACAGTTTGAGGCAGGACGTCTCATAGAATGTTGGACATCTTGCTTAACATGTTGTTTTCCTTGAATCTTCTAAAGGCCAATTTGAATCTTCATTATAAAAAAAATCAATATTTTCTTTACTTGATACAAATGATAATTTCAAACTCTTAATTAAATAATTTAGAGTAAGTTGCCTACGATCATATAACCCAGTTTATGTAGCGTGCGTGCCAAAATGTATCACAACAAGTTGCCTATAAAAATCAGCCAATCAACTATAATAACAACCCCCTGGCTATTTTTAGGAAAAGCATAGATTAAACACTTCTTCAAGAATATAACATCACTTATTTAAGAATGCATGACATATAGTACACAAGTAAAGATTTAAATAATATCCTTGAAGAGAAGTATGCCTTTTTCTTTTTCCCTTTAATTTGCCTCAAAATTAGACAAAGGACAAAGAACAGCCATCAAAGAATCAACGAAGAAACCAAATAACCTCACTGAAATCAACAAGCAAGATGTTAAACACATCCTTAGACATAATCTTCCACATGAGATCTCAAGAACAAAGACATGTCATGTATCACAGCGGAACACCAAAACTGCACTAGCAGCGGCATCATAAAATACAATATATCATATCACACAAAATATTTTGGACTTGAGACTCCACACATGGGAGGGGGTGAATTATGTGGTTCATGAAAAAGTGATTTTGGAAAAATTAGGAAATATTAAAAATATTTTTAAATACTTAGCAGCGGATAAAAGGTAGAAAATATATTATGGAATTTAAAGGAGTTAAGGGGAAAAAGGAACACCAAAAATTATAGAGATTCGGTCAAAACAAAAATGCGTACTCCTATCCCCAAGAATTGATCTTGAGAGTTTCTAATAAACATTGAGAGATTTTAGTAGGAAAGGCTCACGAACCTCCTTATGCAATGAAATGATGGTTGACCTCCAACCAAATAATAAAAGACTTGGATTATGGTAGTTTAGGTCTTCTCTTCCAAATGGTGAATTATGGAGGTTATCACAAATGATGGAATGAAGCATTTAATATCATTATCCATAAATGGTAGATTAAAGCAGATAATCTTCTCTCCACAAATCTTGCAAGTTTTTACATGGGTTGAGCTCACAAACCTTAAATCTTGGTTTTACACAGGATAACCAATAATCTATGAGATTTTAATATCGGGCTAATCTCAAACCTCTCAAGCTTTTAATATCGGGTTGAGATTGAATCTAATCTTGGTTTTATACCGGACTAACCAAGAACCTGATGAAAGCTTTTATACGATCCCTAAACCAAAACTTTTACAGGTTTAGCTTTTACCCAAACAAAAATCCCTAAATGAATTTAATTCAACCAAGGTATAAAATAAACCCTTGATGAATGTAACAATTTTACCCTTCTATAATTACACTAATACCCTCACTCATACAAGGATTTTTTTCTCCCAAAAGCGCTTTAAACTAGTGAGAGAAAGTTTAATAAAACTTTAGAGAGAGAGAGAGAGAGAAAGAGGTGTCAAAACACATTTTTGGATTAAATGAAATGAGTAAATGAACCTCTATTTATAAACCAGAGGTTGGCTAAAAAAGGAATTTCAAATAAATGCAATTTAAGGCAGTCTGATTG